GAATACATTTTTCTCCATTAATGTGTATTATAAAATATAAACTTACCTATTACTCCAATCTAACATCTTGTTTTTAACCTATTTAATATGACATTTTAGTTTCCCCTTGTCATATATATATTATTTATGCCTAAACAATAGAACGGTTGTTGACTCCCGGTACCTCATATTATGTTAATTTTGCAGCGTGAATTTGAATAATTTAAACTGTTTTCTATTTTGAATATTTTTTTGTCTCAGACGACCCCCCTTATAAATAAGTACATAGGTATAATATAAGATTTGCATAAATTTGCAGAGGGGTCTTTATTAATTTTATTGCCACAATGTATCTTTAGTTTTATAATGTATACAATATGTATTAGTTACGTTATGTAAATATTAATACGACTATAATAATATGTGCATTGTGCCGTGTATTGTAAATGAAGCGGATTTTAAAACTATACATTAAATGAGCAGAACATATGTTATTTCACGAGGCTATACCTAAATCAATAACTGCAAAAACTTAAAACCTCCAATAGTACAATAGGTACCATATTATTTCGTAATAATGGACGTGATAGTAACGTTACTGAAATATTTAATGCATTTTGATGTGTTTTGTTCGTCTGTACCACCCGAATACAATACATCTCGTACAATAATGTATTGATGGCTCATTAAAATATTTTAATATTATTCATCAATTGTTTAAATTTTTAAGACACTAATTAATTATTTCATATCATGAATTATCCTTTTTCGCTGTTGAAAAATGTAATTATTTGATTTGAAATATTTCCGATTAATCTATATGTACGAATAACTATATATTACGTTTGAACAGTTGTATGAAGTTCTTGTATTTACAATAATATGCTCATTACAGAATAAATAAACAAAATCAAAATATAGTAATACATATATTATTGTTTATCGTATTAAATGGATTTTGTACTTATTGCGTCGTTGGTCGTTTTATCACGTCGAGATCGATTTATATACGATGAAAATACATGTTGAAATACTTCAATTTTTTTGAACATATATTATGAATGATTTAAATTGTGAAGCTTAAAAAACATAGATTGATTTTAGGCAAATATAATTTCATAAGAAAAGAAAGTTTTTTTAACCTAACTTGAATCATATTATATTGAGTACTTATTAAATAATTAAACGGTCATATTATATAGATGGTCTACAATTTTTTAATAACGTATTGATAATATAATATTTTACTATTTACCGTGGTCGGTGTATGTTGAAAAATATACTTTATTTTTGTATTCGATAGAATATTATGCGTAGTTTATTATGTTGTTTATCAGGTAAAATCCGATGGTATTAATTATAATTCGAATTGCCCGAATGATGTTATATCCAAAATATGATGTAATCCATTTGATAATATAGTTTAACTATTTATATTTTCCATACCAATTGGCGTTTATATCATATGCGTATATAATTTAAATCACTATCTTAATTCTTAATGGTAGTTATTAAAGTTTAAATACAAACATAAGCGTACGTAGTATCGGTTTACATAATATTGTTGAAGTTGATTTATTAGGAATAAATACATTAATTTTTTCTAGAGTCTACTGATTTCCTTTATTGAATTGAATTTATAGATATTCATAAACGTAAAATGCTATTTTTACATATTATTTTTGATTCTGAAAAGCGATGAATGTATAATTTATTGATCTTATTATGTTATTTTAGACACGTAAAGACACTTTTTATGTAGTAGAAAAATGCTTCAATGTTCAATATTGAGGGTGGTTTCTGGTAGCAAAATTGATCCAGTTTGCTGGTTAAAAGTAAACATTTCCAGTATTTTTCAAAATATGCTATTATTGGGAAAACAATTTTTGTTGTAATAAAAATACCAAATCATAGAGATTTTAAATTTTCTAAATATTTTGGAGCTTTTTGAACTATTTATACTAAAACATTTTAAATGTTCGAATTTTTTCGATTTATGTCGATAAGTTCATTTATTTATTATTTAGTTCAAAAAACTTCATAAGTTGCACTGATTGGTATTTAAAAAAAAATTAGAGTAAAGCCACTTTTAAAAAAAGATCGAAAATCTAGTTACAATTTTTTATATAAGGGTTTAAATTTCAAATCTTTACAAATCGTTAAAACCTTGAAAATGTTCGTGTTAAGAATTCATACAATTTGAATTTGAGTAGCTATACTTCATGTTTGAAAATGTTATATAAGGATCCAATAATAAGTATCAAAGATACGTCATATTGTTATGTACAATTTTTTTTATAGATATTTGATATTCAAATGTCGATGAATGGAATGTTTAAAACATTTTTTGCTTAACGATTTTAGTTATTTTGTTGTAACACTAGTAGTGACTTCAAACTTTTCGTTACGACAATGAAATGTTCAAAATATTTAGACAAATTTTAAACTATTTATGCCAAGGAACCTATTTATACTTTAAACACATATTTACACATTCCTAAATTGAATAAAATTAAAATTATTTTTAAATTTTACTTACTTAATATCTTTAATACTTTATTAAATTTATATCTATTAGAAAAAAAAATCATATATATAATATATATATGATTGTTATTATTTTTCTTTTATTATTTAATTATTCTCACAATATAAAAATGTTTTTATTAATATAATATGTTTAATATATGGTTTTCAATATTTTATAGTTTTGTAACCCTTAATATTAGGTTTAAAAAATTGAGAAACGTTGAATCGGTCAATATCTCGTTGGTTGGAACAGATATTGGTTTAAAATATGAAGAAAAGTATTTAAACTATTGAGAGGCATGTAAAATAATATATAATAATATAATATAAAATATACTAATCGTATACGTTAAACCTATGTGATATATTAATATATATGATATTATCATTAGTAAATGAAAACTCTTCTAGTGATTATCTATTCTTGTTGTTAACTCATTCCGGTGGCCGGTAATATAGCGAGTACCTAATCTAAAGGTCGATTTTTTTTATAGCCCTTATCTTTTTTTAGGAAAAGGGGCATCACATATACCTATGTATTTTATTAATATTTTGATTTTAATTATGTACTATTCAAAATACAATTTCTATATTTATGTTATTCGATTTTCTACTGTTTAATATAAAAAGTTATGTAACGTTTAAGCGAAACATTCAATTAAAAGGAAAAATCAATTATTGTTATATTAAATGTATTTATTCATTCGATATTATTTATTTATATTATTATAATAAAGTATTGGAGTTACTTAAATCACATTTGTACAAACAAATATAATATAGAAATTATAGTTGTGCCGTAGTTTAATATAGTTTTAAAATATGGAAATGTGTTTAAATGCTTGTACCTATATTTTAAGCAAGTTTTGTCATTTTGTTTTAGAATTTAAAATCGAAAAGTTAGTAACTTATAATTGAAAAGCTATAATAACCAAAAAAAAGAGTATAATTTTTTAAGGCAAATGGACGTTGTTATGTAGAATTTTTTTTTATTAATTAAATACGATATTATAATGATCTATAAAAAAGAAAAATGGCATAACTAATAACATAATCTATAAAGGTTTTTTTTAAAATCAATATCTAATTTTTTGTACTAATTGTTACGTAACTAAAAAATAATCAAAGTAATAATAATTTATACGAAAACCAATTTGTCTTTGTAATTTATTTTTCATTGTTAGTTTATAGTATAGATTAATGGGTTGAAATAACTTTGGATATTACATTATTATTCAATCAAATGGACAATATGTTTTGATTTGTACGCAATACACAGAATCGTATTTATATGTCTTTTCGAATGTTTCATTATCTTGAGAATAATGTATAATGAGAACAAAATATGGCATATACCTAACCTATACAATGTATTTTAAGTTCTTAAACTAGTTCGATTCCTCCATGTATTGTGAGAAAGGAGTATTACTCACACATAAACAAAAATCATACTTTGAAAAATGACAATTACGAGTGAAAGTATCCAAAAAACTATACAAATTGAAGTAAAAAACAGTTATTTATATGTATGTGACTAAAAGTCGAATTTTCTGGTAATATTATTATCATGATCATCACAAATATATGAGAATAATATTGTGTTCTATTTATACGCTAACAGATATACGTAATATTTCATTAGGTGCATATTCTAAAAAACACATTATATTATATTTTTACAGGTGTACATTACTTGCGTTTCGAATATTATGTATAATTTCTTCCCTATTTGAGTGTGTTAACTTGAAATAGAGTCAAGTACATAGATTGCGTCTCTGGCTGCATATTTGTATTTATATTTGTTAGTAGTTCATTAAATAATCTATAATTTTAACCTATTTAAATTTATAATTAAATACCTATTCAATACTCGTTATTTAATATTAGTACCTAACTAAAAGTAAAATAATATGTTTTTTGTATAATATAAATATGACTATTTGTCTTATTGTTTTTAAACATAAAATGTTATTACATTGGATTAACGTAGCTTAACTTAATTCTAAATTTAAATTATTTCCTAAATATACTAGTATCTTATTTTACAAATGTTAGGAGCGGTAAAAGCTGGTTTATATTGAACCACTGAATAAGATAACTTTAAAGCTGACTATAGTTTAAATAGTTGTCAAGAAAAAGATCTTGCACTTAAAAAACCAAAATGAGAAACAACCCCTTTATATTTTATAATCTATAAAGAGAAAAAAACAATCAAATACTAGGTAATATACTAAAAATCGATAAATGTGTAATCACTAAACATATATTATGATATCTACTTAATATAACTTAATTATTATTACGAAATTCTTTTGCACTGATCTGCATTACTATTATCACTACTTTATTATTATTATTTATCTACTATTTGCATATTATGTAGACTAAACTATGGTCTACGGTAAGCCTACAAAGACTTGTAGGGGCTGCTAATTTGAATAAAAATATCAAATCTTTATAATCATTTTTACTAATTTGCTCGTTTTCTGCAGGATGGTGTTACTGGTGCGAGGCGTAGTTCAGGACGAACCACCACCGGACACGAGGACTCTATACCTCAACCATCCAGTACTCCGAGATTCCGCATCACAACTGCTCACCATCTCCACAAAAGTCGTCGGGCCTATAGGGCTCCTTTACGTGTGTCAACGGGAGATGGCCGTGACCGTGCCGCATGACAGTACGTATACTTGTATTATTATACAATAATATGGTATTCACATGTTTAATCGTGTCGGGGGGGGGGGGGGAGTGGTTAAATGTTTTTTAATTATATTTATTTGTTTCAATATTGGGGATAATAGCGCTTGTATTATAATAATGTAATGATATCGTTAACGGTGTATTAATAATGAAAATTTATTGTAATTATATTGGTTCCGAGTTTTTATAACGACTTCGCTGCCCGGTCCTATCTTGGAATATATAAAGATCAGAGGTGAGATCCTCGTAATAATACGTTATTGTGCGTGTGCAACACAATTATATCTTCGATACTTAATAATTAGTATAGCTTTACGTCCATACGTACTGAATTGAGCACCTGCTTCATATAATTACTTCCCATTTCGCTAGCTAGTATTTCCAATTTCGGTTTTCATTCTCTGGCTGACAGAAAAATAAAAATTAGCTTGACATTAACCCATTACTACGTGAGAATTTTCATACCTACCTAAAAATAGTAAATATTCGTTTCTCCTTATCTCTTGAACCGTGTTATGAATTTTAAAGTCACCTTTTTTTTTACTTATAAGCTCTGTGGGTAAATCCCTTATCTATCAGTCATCGACTGCTTAGATGCCAATGAGTGCCAACCTCTCCTTCTGGTATTATACGTATAATAAAGATTTATATACACAGTCTTACTTTGAAATATCTGTCCGTATTTTGAATGATAATTAAATACTCGTTCATATAGCCATACTATAGGGCAGCGATTTGGAAATATAACCGTATAATTTATTATAAATAGGTGCCTACCTAATAAAGTAATAACTAATAACCTATTTAGTATGTTGATGAGTATAATAATAACCACCTAACGTTCAATATTTTTGATTATTTTACTTTATCGTACATTTATTTTATTATGAGTAGTTCATACGACTTTCAACCCTCCCCCACCTTCCCACTTAAAAAAGCTGAACATGCCACTGATCGATTTAATGAAAACAGTCTAGTACTTATTGTACATTGATTTATATTTATGATTTATGACGTAATACTACTATACTAATACATTTATTTAATGTTTATAGAAAACGTGTCGATCATTGGTTCCGACGATGTTACCACTTGCATCATTCTCGTACTCCGACATACCGGTAAGTTTATTTTGTATTAATAGTTATTAAATTAATACATAACAAATGTTAATGTTTATATCGTATCCGTATATATGTATTTTTTAAGCACTATAAAATAGGTACTTTAAATCCATAACGATATGCCTCACCTAAAACTCTTTAGTTTCAACGGTTAATGAGTCCTTCAATATTAATGAAACATTTTTCATTGTAAAATAATTTGGTGAATTTCAAAATGTAATATTGACATTTCTTATGATTTAAAATAATTTCAAGTCTTATGCGTGGTATAATTTTTATTATATTTTGAGTTTATTGGTTAAAAAAAAAACAAAATATTTGCTAGACACGCTCATAAAAATCTTGATTATCTTAATTATGTAAGTCGAGCACTGCTTCTAAATGCACATATATAAAATACGTTTAAAATGGTTTTCAAATGCAGTCCTAGTTGCTCTCTAGGGTCTAATATGAGTATTCAGTATATAAATCATTAGAATGTTATAGTTCTCTAATTTTTTAAATATACGTTTTGGTAATATAAGCGCATGTTGCGTACTTATATTTACTTACCTATGTTATATACTATTTTGAATAGTCTATTGTATTCGCCGTATACGTATATTTGTAGTTTTAGGTTAGTTTAATTAGGGTACCTATATAGACATGGCGGCACTGATGCCCAAACAATATGCGAAATTCGAAAACCGATTATTTTCAAACACCATGTCATATAATTATACCTATACGCTTTTATATTATTATTAAATATTTCTCTGCCGTACCCATAACTCTATAATTCGGAGGTTCCCAAACTTTGTTTTTCGCGTACCACTGTTTGAAAATAGAACTGTTCAAAATATCAATACATTTAATTATATATTTAAATGCTAAGGCAGTAAAATAATTTATTACGTTATACGTTTTTATTATCTACGTTGTGCAAGGTGTGTGTCAACAATAATAAGTACGACTTCTTGACGTACTTTCCGTGACTCGGGATAACAATTAATAACAATAATATTAATTTACACAAAATATAGACAAATATAAGATCCATCACAAACATCCAATAAATAAATAATATTTTCCGTACTATCATATGGATTTTGCTTAGTCCTTATCCTTCTGTTTAACACTAGTGGTATGCTTACCACAGTTTGGGAACCTCTGCCTAACCTTTATATGTATGTCGTATAGATGTATACTGTATAGTGTCTATACATCGTATATATATAACACAGTAGTCATGTAAAAATCGTGGCTTCTAACTAATTTATTTTGTAACTATATTTAATAAATGATCGAGTGTTACCGCTGGGTTGCTACTCACCTCACGCATTCACAACAATTGTATTTCAGCCCATATGCTTATTGTAACCTTTATTGCAGATTGTATATATTCTAATAAATGTTAAAAAAAATAAAAATATTTAATAAATAATAAAACTGTCATAATAAATTATAACAATCTAAATAATATCTAAGTAAGTTAAGATTACCTTTTATTAAAATAATTAAATATCTATAATAGATATATAATAAGCAACAAAGCATTGTATACTCACTATATAATTGATTGAAACATGGTGATTTTTTTCTTTCACAACCAAACATTCACAATTATGTACCCTGATAATTCTTTGAGCTTGATATGTCTGCACTATAACATATAATTGATAGTTTTTTCGGGAATGTTTACACATATCATGTTTAGGTTCCGGTGCTGTGGGATTTGCTCATCTAGACGGTTCGTGTACCGAGGAATGTGTGGTGAACATGGTGCACAGGATCCAAGAGCTGTCCATGGGATTCCCAGACGGTCGACTGGAAATGTCTCTGATTGGCGGATTCACTCATGTATTGCGTTATGGCGAACAAGTGTTTTATAGTCTGATGGGTAAATGTCGTAACCGTTATTTTCCAACCGAAAAGTCGGTATAAATCAACGCAATACATAATAATAATACTATTATATCTCGCACTCGTGCGTACATATATAACAGTTGCTGTTCACAAACATCAAACCGAAATCGAACTTGTGCTCGCGTGTGTTGGAGAACTCAACACCATAATGCGGAACAACGTCCACTGGCCGTTGCTTTACGGAGCGGGTAATGTTTTTTTTAAATAATAATATTTTTGTTCTTTAAATACGATTTTAATGTTAATTCTGTGCCCGTGCCCCTTATACAGGAGTTATGGTCAAGAGCGGTGAAGTGTTTCCGGCCAACTTTCCTGACAAAGGACCCGAACAACCTCTGAGATTAGCTCGGCTGTTCACAGGCCTGCAACCGGTACATATAAATATACGTGTATAATATTATGTATTATAATTTGAAATTATTCTTTTCGTTAAATTTATATGTTTGAAAATATACACACATATATACGTATATATTTTTTTCACACAATTTGAAGCCATTACAAGTTACAACACTACATTTTGTTGTATTTTTTTAAAATTTTTAATTAGTTTTAATGACAACATACATTTTTAATTTCATTCTCTTATAGTCACAACCGTGGTATAACGTTATATGTTTTCTTAACACATAAATAGGTGTTGGACGTGTACGACTGTAGCTTGGGTCTCTTGAGAATCGGACCGTTCAACTACGAGCCCATGAGAAGTGTCGACTTGTGGCTCCAGCAGTCCGATGAATTCATCCTGCAAGCTTTGTCGACTACGCCCGACGTAGAACCACCGCACACAGTCATGGCCGTAAGAATACAATTACATGCCCAATATATTATTTTAATACTTGTACACCGTATTCTCCGTATTTAGAAATTCAAAGCTTGATAGTTGTTGTGTATGAATAATAATAATGTATAACAATATACTATTTGTTATTGAATACGACTAGGAAAATACTAAAATATTAATATATTTATGGAAAAACGTATTATTTTGTCTTTTGGCCGAATATTCATGGACAAATGTATTTCTAAAATATGGTTTCTAGTTTTAGAAATTTACATACCTAGTTTTTGATAAAACAATCAAATATATGTCGGGGTCTGCGTTTTACATTTTATTCCTATAATACAAGTTACTGTAACACACACATGACTTTTGCATTTGAATATAATTAATTAAAATATAGTATTCATATTTTTATTATTGTTTTATTTCAGATACGAGCCTCTCTAAAATACGTCCAAGATCATCCGTTTCCAGCGGTTACGGTGTTCAGGGATAATCGACCGTTATACTACAGACGAGATGAACACTCTGGCACGTGGACTCCATTTCGCTATTAAAGAAATAGGAACCTCTAACTCGACAATCTAACGATACAACGAAAGTGCCAAATCAATGTTTGTACGGCGTCGACGATTTGGTAACATTCAAATTTAAAATATCATTGACAAAAAATTACAAGTGTTAGTTTTTTTAATATTAACTATTATTATTATTTATAGAACATTCCATTTCGTTTTGCCCTAATATTGTGTTTTATAAGCTGTTCATTTTTATTGTTTTATTTGTAAGTGCCTTTATAGTTAAATTCAATTTTTTTAAAGCTGTTTTTATAATTTTTAGAAGCTAATGGAGAACTTGAGAACACTTAAATAAATTATTATAATATGTATTAAGTTTCAACTGTGGTAATATTATATTTTATGTTGTACGATGAAATAATCAAAAAAAAAAAAAAAATACAATGTTGATTTATTTTTTTAACAATTGTTTCATACATGTGAATTTTAATCAAAATGAATGTTAAGACACTGTACAATAACTATTATATTTTTTTATCATAATTTATTTTGCAAGTGTCATTCTTTTAGTTGTATTATTGTAATATTGTCATTGGCAACTCAATACAACATATTTGTATGTTGTAATTATATAAAGTCATTAACTCATACCTGTATAGTATATACCTGCAGAGCTTGGAAATGAAATTTAAAATACTGGTATTTGCACAGGAACATTACGAAGATATTTTAACCTTAACTGGTACCGATATTTGTTGGTATAGAATTTTTCTGGTTCCATATTATTCAGCTAATTTATTTATTAAGGTAATAATAATAATTGGTTCATTGAATTTCATTGTTAGTGTATAAAAAACACCAGATACCTAAGTATTAAGGACCACATTGCATGTGTTGTCTCCGTCTAACACACGTACGACATAACACATTTTCGTTCACTAGTTTTGATATTAGAGTGAATTGACATATTATCAAACTTTTAGGTAAGAACGTTATCTGTGTTCTCTCGTTTGTTTTTTACGATATTTTAATTTTAATTTTTTAAATGAATTATGATTTGTGAATATGTAAAATATTAATATTTGAAAATGCTTTTAAATCAATTAACTAACTATATTATTACAATTCATAGTTTCAATGCACTTATGAAGAGATGAAGTTTTTCTATTCATAGCATTTACTATTAATTTAATAATATATCTTCCTTGAAAATGACTATGCAAATATTAGCTATACGCCCACACAACTGTCAGAAACCGAGACATTCTCAACATTTAATTTTGGATACTATCCAGTCTTAGTATTATGAGCTATCTCATTCAATTTATCATTTAAACTCATTTTTAAGCTTATAATTATACTATTTGTATGAAACAATAATTTGTCAACACTAAAATCACAACTAAAACTACTTTTTTGTTGTTAACTATTTGTTCCCACTAAAACCATTTTAAAAATAATAAACGTTTATTTTGGGGAAAAAAATCATGTTTCTTCTACTAATGTGGAGAGAGGAAAATTTGAAGTACGAAAGCATGTTTTCGGTAAGGAAAATTGCAAATTTATATCCATCATCATGACGTGCTGCTCTGGCAGCGTTCAAGAATGGTGTTCATACCATTATCCCTAGCATGACTATCCATACTGAAAACCTACTTTTCAAGTATTATATGTTATAAACACAATGATATTTTCAATTGCAATTTTTTCGGCAAAAATTAATTTACTTACTGATTCCTATAGTAGTGAAATACTAAAATAGTTTTTTTTTTGTAAAATTATATGCGGAGAGGCCGTCTTCGATCATAATCATTTATGGAATACCTACAATAATTGTATACAATTGAATCAAAATTTAACCTATCTTTTACAGTGATCCATATTTAATTTAGATACTTACTGATAATAAATATTATTAGATGGCTCACTGCGGTATAAAATTCACTGCTCTTAATTTACTATAGCGATCCGGGTGTTGCCATGTTATAAGCACAATTTATTTAGATAATATCATCACTCATCACTCATCAGTATATGATGTTATCTAGTGATATCTTATTGTAATATCTTTTAAGACATTTTTAGTCGTAATTTGCCGGAATTTAGGGCTTGCATTGTCCGCCAGGAGTGCTAAGAGGGCCGATTTTTTTAAAAAATACTGTGTACTTAGGACCTAGCGGTATATGCATTTAAACTTTAAGAACGAATTTAGTTTATTTTCCAAGTTAATTTAATGAATTTTTTTGGAAATGTTAGTATTTTTATACTCAACTTGTTGGGGAATCAGAATTGAAATACTATACTTACTGGTTAATTTTTTTTTTATTGTTAATAAATCACCTACAACTTAATTGTTTAAGTGGTTAATTTACAATACAAATGCAGCATATTTTTATGTAGTAGTTGCATAACGTCATATACTCATAACCAAAAAGTTCGGATTATTATGCAAAAATTATTGTAAAATATGCGCATATTTATGCACTCAAAAATTAAAATATGCAAAAAAATTTTTTAACGGTGTGTTAAAAAAAAACTGATCATCTTAAAATAATTACAAAATATATTACGTGAAAAAAAATACAATTTAATTATCAGTTATTTTTCTTCTTACAAACGTGTAAAAACTATTATACATTTATGCCTATTGCTTAATTAAATAAATGCAAAATTAATAACAAAAAATGTTACATTAATTTTGGAACGAGTACCAACATGAAGTTACGAAATGTGATTTTATATTTTCAAATTTGAAATTTTTACGAATGTTAATAAGGAAACATAGATTTATATTTGGAAAAACTTCTTTCTACTTAGCAAGACACGATATAGGTGCATACTTAAAACAAGAATTTACTATTTCTAATGTGTTTTGAAGTTCCTAAATGTTAAATAATCTATGATTTTCTATCACATATGATACGTTGGTTTTACAAAAAGTACAAAATAATATAGCTCCATCTGTAATTTCATTTTTCACGTATAAGCTTTCTTTACTTTTGACATTTTCTTAGAGAAAGATAAAAATTTAAAGTTTACAAAATTTTATTTTATACGAACACAAAAACTGCGGTGGATAATTGGATAAATAACACTAATAGTTTACCGTCACTAACTAATTGAAATACACAAGCCGTGCATTACGTGTATATATAAGGAGCAGATAACACAAATATGTAGACTGTCAATAAAAATCGGCTACTGCAATTGGCCAGTTTGTGCTTAGAATAACTTTTATGTCGGCAGCACACTCGCCTTGCCTTGCAAAAAATAAAAAAATCGTCAACTGTTTATAAAAACTGCAACTTTATATAATATTCATATAGGAATATGCAATCAGTTCGCATTTTTATTCAAATATGCGAAAATAGTCTAAAAAAATTAATCGTAGACTCTACAGATCACAAAATGTCGACATTTTTAATCAAAATTATTCTGGGTCAATAGTTGTAGAAGAATATGCATTTTCATAAAAATCCGGGCCCTACTCATAACCTTTACGCTATAAATTAAATTTTGCTCACATGTTGTAAAATCATACACACATATAACTATTAGTAGGTAGGTCAGTGGCTTTATAGTATGGACGAAATATCGACGTTATCTCCCAACCAAACGAAAGTTCTGAAAAGTTACTTGTATCTAATATTTTAACTCGTCGTAAATGCCTGGGTTTAATTTGAAATAGGCAAATCGTTCTGTAAACTTTCACCTGCAAGTCACTGGAAACTTTATTTAAGTATTCCACACAACTGCAGTTGCTTAGTTTTCCCATTTCGAGAGGGAGGTGGAAAACGACGTCGTTGATAAATTGTGAATGTAAAGGATGCATCCTTCACAGGTGAAGGGGGCCAATGATACTGGCGATCGAATTTTCGATCGCTAAGTAGTTTCAAAAGTGTGTGGTTAGTTTTGATATTAGAGTGAATAGTTAAACTATTATCAAACTTTAGGTAAGAACATTATCTGTGCTGAAGCATCGGCTTTTATTCATTATTTTTATATTTAAAGTGATATATTAAATTATGAACATTTTTAATTTGTGATATTTCACATACCCATATCTTGCTGCAAAATGAAAACTTAAAAAAATTACCATCAGATCAAATTCAACATGGATTTACAGAGTTGATGATCTATTTGTTCCAGGTTACTGGTTTTTCAGAGTACGTTCTAAATAATTATATTATAGAAGATACCGAATTTCCCACCTTCGGCGTGGGCAAAAGAACCAACTGACGCACCTCGTATTTCTAATGGGACCGAATCATTTCACAGTAACTATAACTCAATCACAATAATATGAATTTAAAAAAAAATAAGTTATTAAGTTATAATATATTATATTTATTCAAATATAATATAATACATCGTATGACAATATAACACATTTTTAACCATACCAGTTAATTACGAGTTCTAAGTCTCTAAAAATTGGAAGGTCTAATCAGTCTATAAAAATGTATTTATATATTATATACTTAAAATCTCGCTCGAATTATGTATTAGATAAATTAGGAGTTCATGTAAATTTCGCAAAAATGATATGCCAAACTTATAAGTTTGGACTAATAAGAAATATGGGAATATATAAATTCGGCCAAACTATATATTATTTTAAGTCCTTCGCCCAAATGAAAGCCATTCTATGTATCATTCATCAAAATTACATATTGATCGTGAGTTTTTAGGCCTTACAGAGATCATTCAATTTGAAGTCTCAATATAATCCATTAAAATACTTTAAGTCTTCTTCTACATTATTTGTTTATACTTTTTTGTAGGCATGAAAGTAAAACATTGAAAAAATAAGTTATTTGAACGAAATATGACGATATTTTTTTCCAACAATTTTAATTATTTCGTTAAAAAAATATATATCCGTATTTTATTGATTTGATACTTTTACCATTACTCCCGTACACTGGTATGAAAAGAGTCTATTAATATTTTTTATGCACAATGGTCAATTACATTTACAAAATATTTAGACTAATATTTTAAACTAGGTAGATATTATAAATGATTGTATTAACACGTGCAATTGTACAACATAATTATTGTACCTACATCGATATTGATTTAAACTTTTTTTAAATTTACTAATTCAATACATCCATTAGTCATTACAATGACAAGGAGTGATATACTCAATGACAAATTGCACTTGAAATCTATATAATATGGACGTATAATAGTAGAACAAGTTTCCGGGATTTTTAACAGTTAACACGCTGTGTATTGCTCAAAAACCAAAATTATCCATTTTACTGTATGCGTCCTCTATTTAGTTAGTAGTTATTTGAGATATTTCTAATCAATTTTCAAAAATGTTGCATTTATTTTTGTCATCAAATTATTTACCCAGCCGAATGCATTAGTTTAGTATTCATTAATCTTATTTTCAGTTATGTTGTTTAATATTTATAGCTGTTGAGTATTGTGTATTTATTGTTTGAACTTTGGATTATGTTGAAAAAACCTAAAAATTAATTTGACATATATTTATTAAATAATGAATGTTGTACCCCACATAGCAAGTCAATATTAAATCAAGGCTGAATAAAGATGCATTTTTAAACATTGAACATTATTTAAATATTGATTTTAGATGAAATTAGAAGCATATTAATCTTTATTGAATGTTGTATAAATGTGAAATGAAATAAAATCATATGTTCAAGAAGTATTGACCATTAAATGTTGAAACAACATTAAAAACATAATGCTTATAAGCCTTTATTCAAACAACAGTTCATATTAAATCGGCCTTGTGTGAATCTTGATTCAAGATAAATTTAAACTTTACAAAATATGGAACAAATATTGAAAATAACATACAAATACTATATATAGCTCCAGATTAAAACCATATATATTCAAGTTTACCCTCCAACCAGGGCCGGATTAAGGTTTTTGCCGCCCATAGGCTAAAATAAATTTACCACCTAATTTACATATTAAGTAAAATTTGTCGCCCTAGGCTTTAGCCTAACCAGCTTAAGCGGTAATTCGGCCCTGCCTCCAACACAAGTTTTTTTAATTTTACTTCCATAATATTATTATATTATATAACTCTAAAACCTTAACTTTTGTTTTTTTATCCATGACTATTACATGATATAATACAGCAAAACAATTCACCTACAGTATTTGTATTTTGTATGAAAGAGTAGGTATGAAAAATATAATAAATAAAAAACTACACTAATATATTTAAAGTCTTAAAATATTATATTAAAATTACTAATTATTATTTAATTAATAATAACAAAATAAATTATGTTGTAACTGCAACTCTGGAAGAAGATTTTTTTTTGATATTAAATGGAGCCTGGATCAGAGCGTTTTTAATATATTTTTCAGCATCATCAGTGGCACTTTCATAATTAAATTTTTTCATGAATTTTATTGAACCTATAAGAAAAAAATGTATTATTTTCCTGTATACAAAAATTTTAAATTAACTAATAGAAAAAAAAATTAGATGATTCAATCAAGTCAAATTAAAGTTAATATTAAACTGAAGCAAGTTAAACTTAATTTTTAATTTATAACAATAACTGAATTCAAATCTTAAGGAGAGGAAAATTAATGTGTTTATTAAACTATAAATATAACATCAGAGATGCCATGAAAATTTTATTATTTTGACTATCGTTGAACATCGATGCAGCTAGAGATAATTGTTGTAAAATGTTGAGATAACCTATCTATAGTTCCTTAAATGTTCTAGTTAGAAAATATATTCAAATATGCATTCAAATGTATTTTAAATTTATTATTTAAAATAATAATATAATATATACTAGTTGATATTGCAACTAAGGCAAAAAAGGCCAAATGATTATAATTATGTTAAAAAACTATAATACATTATATTATTTATATTAAAATAATTCATTGAATTGTAAAAATCCAGCATTTAAAATAAGAAAATATACCTAACATTGGACTGTATAATAGAACACAATTATAACTCCCCCAAAAAGTAATGATTATAAAACCAAAATTACTTACTAAAAATTAGCTTTGAAATAATTAAATTTGAAAAACATTTTTTTTTGTTTGCACGGCCACTAAAAGAATAATATTGTAGTAGTTCGTCCGTAAATAATAGCTGCATAACTCTTTTAATATAAATTTGAATTGTTTTGCCACCTAATCCGACTAGTTTATTTGTCTAGAACAAAACATAAAAAAATTACTTTATTATATGTTATAAATACATCAACAAAAACACTTACCATTAATTTATGATATTTTTGATCTGATGCCAGTTGTTCTTCAATACAATTCAAGGTATTTATGTCATCAATTGGAAAAATACAGTTGAGATTTGCGTAATCCATATCATCTTCATGTAAATTATTGTCAGGGTTTTGTGAAAATTTGTTGTTTCTTTCAATTATCAGATCAAGTTTTTCATTTAAATTTCTGATGCCATGTTTTATAATTATTAAATTATGGGATACCATATCTTTAAATTGATCATCTGTAATCATAATATAACTTATGAATTAGATTTAATATTATTATATTACAAATACATAATTAGTTAAATTTATTTTATAAATGGTAGTTCAATTTAAATATAAAATAATTACCTAATCGAAAAGGTAAAATAAATTATAGTGATGTTATCGTGAAATTAAAATATATCCATATACAATTAATAAATACTAAATTAACTAATAGTTAAATTTAAAGTATTCTTTCAATTATTTTAAAAATACCTGTTAAAAACTTTGATTTTTTTGTGTTACTAGAAATCATAGTTGAAGTTTTCATACCTAAAAAAAATTAAACAATTAATGACATATTGCATACCCAAAATATGTAAGAATATATAATTATTAAACTTAGTTATTTATTTATTCAACTTACAATCTTACTAATAGATCATAAATCATAATAGTTACACTGAGGACACATGGACACATAATACCCAAAATTTTAAATAAAAACTTAAATCAAATTAAACATCAGAAATACCTAATAATTATAACTATTATTAAAATCATTTTAATTATATAATTAATAATTGTTATTTTAAAATAACTAGTATACCAATTGGTATCTGACTACTAGGTTAGGTATTATTGGGAGGAAATGCTATCAGATGCAAAGTTTCAAGTGAAAAATTTACAATTTTTAATAATCGGTCGTGCATAGAAGGCACAAATCATTCGAGCCTTGATTTTTATTTATGCCAGTGTCAGTATAAATTACATGGTGGTTGGTACTGTACACAAATGGATTGTGCTTAAATTCTATTTTTATTTTAAAACATCATGAGATGGTTTCAATTTTATTGTGATATTTTTTTCCAAGTTATTATATTCAAACAAGAAAATAGTAAGGCATACTATTGAGTATTTGAACACTAGGTATTTAATTTTTATTTATTATGTGATTATAAAGACTATATTATTTAGTTTTTATTAATTGGTTATTAGGATATTAGGTATATTATATTAAATATATATATATTATTTTTTGTTATATAATAATACATAATTATATTATCTACAGTGAATAAAATATATTATCATAGTAATTTTAAAATCATCAGAAATTAGGGAGGAAGAGGGTATATCCTGTGACCCCACGAGCCGCCACTGCAGATTAATAAATTATGACTTAGAGTCTTAGGAACTTTTTAATTTTTAGTAAAAAAAAAAAAATATATAAGGATATATAAACATACTAGAACCTGAATGTATGCCATTTTCTTTCGTCTTAAATAACTGCTTCTTTACATTACCTTTAAAAATATACAATTAACAATTATTTTAAATTATTAATTCAAATAGTAATAAATTATAATAATCTTAGGTAAAATTACGTTTTTGAGATGACATTAATATGCTCGGAGAATATACATTAAAACTTATTTTAGTTGGAGTTTTCTTAACTGGTGAAATTTCATCTGTAGTTGTTGCGTATGAAATAGCTGACAATAATACAATACAAATGTTACAAATGTTAAATGGTTAACCAAAATTATTAAAAACTATAACTTACATTTTTGTGATAATGTTTTTTTAGGTGACACAATATCTACATAGTCTTGCAGCTTAGGAGATGACATTATTGTATCTTGCGCATATTTATATTGTGAAGAAACTATTTCAAAATATATACATTTTATACAAAACAAATGTTGTAATTACTTATAAATTAAAATTATAACTTACATTTTTGAGATGTTGATGCTCTTTTAGGAGATTTTAAACTGTCAAAACCTTGCTTAGGAGACAATATTGGAGTATCTGATGGTTGCGAGAAAACTGTTTAGCAATAATTAAATTTTGTATTAAACAAAATATATTGTTAATTACTAATAAATCACAAATGAAACTTACATTTTTGAGATGATGATGCTTTTATAGGAGATTTTAGAATATCAAAGACTTGCTTAGGAGACAATATTTTTTTTGTAACTGATACATGTTGAGATTTTCTGACTGGAAATAAGTTTTTTAACAGCAAAAATAAATAATATATTTTCTTTTTATAATCTATGCAGTTCAACCCATAAAATAGGCATTAATGAGTGTTAAAAAAGTATGAAAATTGAAAATACATTAAATAATAATAATAAATAATACAATTTGAAAATATACTTTTCTTTTTAATTGGAGACTTGCAGATTTTTGGTCTTTGATCATTATTATCTAAAAACATTAATAAGTGAGGTAAGTTACATGAATAAATGTAATTATCAACTTAATAAGTTTTCTTTACTACTTACCAGACTCGTAATTCGGCATCTCACTATAATTTCCGTTATATGAATCATCTAAATCATCACCTGAACATGTAGGTTTTAATTATAATTGTATAATGTATATAGGTAATATAACTAGTAGACTACATATTATATAGATAATTTATTAATTAATACCTGATTTACCATGATTTTTAAGTTTATTACTGTTTAATTTTCGTTGAAGTCTTGTGTCATTTTCGGAGGATGATAAATCTGAAGTAAAAACAGCTTTTTTGCATTTTTTATGTGCTTCAGAATATAATTCTTAAAACAAAATGTATAGTTGAAATAATTATATTTTGTATTTTTATAAATTTAAATAAATAATTTATTAAAACATAGATACCTAAAATATAATACCTAATATCTAACTAGGTAATACAATATTATTTCAAATTTAAACACATTACAGTAGGGTTAAGAAGTTAAGTAATTCAAATTCGAATACTTACCGATGTTTGACAACAATGCACGTGCTTTAAACCAATTAAACATTTGTGAATCAGGGTCACTTTGACTTTCGATAAATTTTTTAGTGTTTCCGTTTGGCCAAGCACATTTATATTTTGTAACCCACTTACTGGGTACCACTTCCACGGAATTGTCCTCCTTAAAATGCACTACCGACCACATTATAAAAGTGGGTATAATAATTAAAAAAAAAAAATTATAAAATGTTCACAAATCATCAAAATAATCTTACTGTAGACGCAGAGCTAACAAATACGTCTATAACGACTAATGGATGAAATTGAAATAACAATATTGACAACTGGAAATCCAAATTATGTTGGTTACTTGGGTTAATCTAATAATAATAAGATAATTATCGAATGTTCTCGGCGGCGGCAATTCGTATAATCGTATATTCCTATGATGATAACGATTTCCTATTGTTCTATTTTTAAACATATTTGTCTACAACTTACTATTCATAACCACGGATAATATAGTGTAAACATGACGCGCCGCCGCCGCTGACGGGGGACAGTGTCGGCGCAATGNACATATTTGTCTACAACTTACTATTCATAACCACGGATAATATAGTGTAAACATGACGCGCCGCCGCCGCTGACGGGGGACAGTGTCGGCGCAATTGTTATTCTTTTCAAGCAGGGGCGCATTTGCCCCGGGCGGAAGTTTTTTGGGGGCGGTACATTTTTTGTAATTTTTTTTTTTTTTGTATCTCAGAGTCAAAAAGAAAACATACAAATTGTATGACATAATGGAAAACTTGGGTTTAAGAAAAATAATAATAATTAGTATTATCATACTAATGTACTATTAAACGTTATAATATATTATGTATATAAAATTATGTCATAGTATGAGATGAGCATTTATGTAATAACATATTATACATTTATACTTATACATGTGTCATGACGTATACAATCATACAGATAATTATATTTATATATTGTGGACTGGGGAAGCGTGTACGTGCGGTTTTAGTAATAAATAATAATCGTATACTATTTTGGTATTTGCTATTATAGTTGTCAGAATCATTATACTAATATATAATGATAAATCATAAATGATACGGGAAAGAATTATTCCATAGTTAATGTGGAAAATTATTCTATTTTTAGTCATACCCGTATGCCCGTTTTATTTGCGTGTATTATTGTTATTTCTTATTATCTTTCTGATAATATTATTATGTATTATGAGTTATTATTATTATTATACTGCATAGACGCACAGTGACCGTAGTCATACGTCCTACGGATATGTAATTATATGTAATACAATTTTGTCGTCGGTTTTGTTTGTTCGTTTTGATTTTAAATTGTTTATACATTTTCTAAACTATGTCGGGGGTTTCAAATCATAAAAGAAAACCAAGTGGCGCAAAGTTTAGAAATTTGGCCAAGAAAAAGAAACAGAAAATCAAAGATTGCGTTTCGAGCTGTATGAAATTGAATAATTATTTTGAAGTTAAGCCAGTTAAGGTATGTAACTCTGAAATTTAAATTATTGTTTTTAATAGTACAAGTAGTAAAAGTATTTTCTTCATTACATTATATTTGTTATTAGATTAACTTTCAAGTTTCGGTATGTTTTTTTGTTCAAAAAATGTGAACATATTATAATAATTGTGAAATGTTATTTATTAGATTAGGCTAATCCCAACTGTATATCTGTATCTAAAATAAAAAAAAAAAACTATTTTTGTTTTTTTAAAGGCATTTTAATTATAATTTTATTCAATGTTGAATATAAAAAAAACATGTGTACCTTTATACTATAACATAAACATGGTAAAGAATTAGGAAATATGTCATATGTGTACAGGTTCATTCTAAAACACATCCAAAACCAACCTTATAACAGACTACTTATTTTAGAGTTATACTTACATTATGATAAATATATTTTAAATACATATTTTATTATTAATCATATATTCATATTAGTACTTTGATAATATTAAACTAAGTATTCCAATAGTATTTAAAATTATTTTTAATATTTTGAAATAAAATAAAAAATGATGAACAGGAAACTCAAACGTTTAATCTTTCTTCCACAAACTTGGAAAACGTGGAGAATGGGAATGATTTGTTGCTGCCTGGTTGTGAACCTACTGTTAGCACAAATACAGATAATAATTTGGTAAGTAAATACTAAATAGTCAAAACTTCTATAGTTCCATGTTTAATGTTTACTTTTAAGTCTATTTAATGATAAATTATTTTTGCTTAAAAAAATATTGTCCCAACTGGAACCTCAGTTTTTTAATATTCTAAGGCCCGGTTTTTCAATTGTCATAATAACTGCCAGTTAGTTAACCACCAGATAAATTAAACTATCGTTTAAAGCGGCGGTTAAATAGTGCACTGTTTATCAAGTGAAATTGATGTGCCAGTTAGTTAACTAGAGGTTAATCGTAAAATCAACATATCTTACGAGTGGTCATACTGCATAAAGTGTATTATCCACGATTTAAGATAGTACTATCTATTATTTTGCTTTTGCTAGTATCACCGATTATGTTTTGAAAGTGACTGTTCAACTGTAATGTTGTCTAATGTATTTACTTAAACTTTAAAGTGCTTTAAAAATGAAATAAAGTTAAAACATTATACAATTTTGTTAACTATTTATTTGTTTCTTGTATTCATTGACATTTTTTTTATAATGAGTTCGTCAAACAAAAGAAAACGTTCTTCTAATTTTAGTTTTTCCGATAAGGAACTATTATTGAAAATTGCGCTTTACAGGAAAGCAATATTGGAAAATAAAACGTCCAATGCTGTTACCTGGAAAGATAAAGAGAAAACTTGGTCAGATATTGCTTTAGAATTTAATAGCCAAACTGGTGGTTCGGTAAGTACCAATAAATTATATAGAATACATTTTTCTGTAATTTAACTAAAATGTTTATTTTATTGTTGATGCTATATTATCATTATTATTTGTACAGCCTAGAGATGGAAACAGCTTGAAAATGAAATATGAGAATATTAAAAAATCAATGAGGTGCCCAAAATCAGCACTATTTGTGACTGGTGGAGGACCAGCTCTTAGGATACAAGAACCATCATCTGATTATGAGGCAGAGTTATTTAGAACCATACAAGTTTCGGTCGAAGGTGTACCCTGTGAAATTGATTCAGATGCTATTGATAGTAAGAAGTTTATATATTTGTTAATGAAACTATTATTTTATTAATTATTTTTTAACTCAAAATAGCAGACATTTCAAATACCATGGTGGTAAATGAAGATCATGATCCTCTCTTATCCCAATTACAAGAGTTTGAATATAATGGTATGACTGATGAGGATGATGTTGAACAACCATCAAATACAACATTTTATTCCTCAAATGTTGATGATGGTAAGTAAAACAATAGTACCTAATTAAAATATGTTTATTTGAATTTGTATTTTTTTATTGATACAGTACCAAATAGTTCTACTTGGGTACCAGCTGATTCGGTAAAATTGTTAAGAACTAATGGGAAAAGTATTAAACTAAACAATTTACTGACACCAGGTAAGTAGCTAATGCACATTTTAGGTTTACACCTTAGAGCAGGGATCACCAAGTTTTGATGGGCTTTAAAATTTTTCCGAATTTCTAATAAGGCATTACCTACATAAATATTGGTGACCCCTGCCTTAGAGTCTTGAGTAGACCACCCGACAGACATGTGGAATTTGAATACTAATAAAAATATTGATAGACAAAGAGATCAACAACCAAATAGCTAAACAAACAGGTGAGTACAGAATATTAGTAGTTTCATAAAAAGGAGAAATTTAATTTTTAAATCAGTTGCTAAAAATCAATTACTTTTAAATTGGAAGTTTGTAAGTTATATTGTGTAATACATTCAGTGTGCATTATTTATTAATTCTAATATTATTTTTTTATTATTACAATTAAAATTATGGAATTGAGAAATTATTAGTGTTGTTAAGTATTTCATCAAAATAATTTTAAAACTAATTTTAATATTAAATTGTTATTTAATTAGATTTTATTTATGGTTTTTGATTCAGTATTTTAAATATATTTACTTTATTATTAGGTATATCTACTAACAATATTTTTTCTTGTAATTATTAAGTACCTATACAAAGTATTTTTCCAAATATTGAGTAGTATATTAAATACTTTTTAAAATATTCAGTACAACACTAGTTATTCAATAAATAGTTAATAGTCAAAGTATGGGTTTTTGTTTTGCTATTTATGTATTCTGGTTCATATTATAATCTTTTGTCATGTAAGTATGTAATTAATGTTTGTACATTGCTATTTTAAAATAAAATAAATTAACAAGCATTGTAACTAGATTAATAACAAAATGAAATGAGTACCCAGTTTGTAATGGCCGTATTCATAGTCGATGCTTAATAACACTGTTATATTAAATAAACCTGACTTTAGCTTAAGAGAAGATAAATATGAATTAAATTAAGGTTTGGTTGAGACCTACCTTAAGGCTTAAGCATTGCTTTTAGTTATCGCAATTTTTTTTTTTTTTAAATGATCAAAATTAGATATCAATAGCTATTGTTAAGCATCAACTATGAATACGGCCCTAAGTTTTTATATCTTTATAACTACACAATTTACTAACCAATTACTTTTGCGCAGTGTTTGATCTGAAGCTAATTAAAAGAGATTAACATATTAAGCCATATTCCATTGTACAATTTTCATCCATTCCACCTGTTGCCTCCTTCAGATCTGCTACTACCTTTGTGTCATATTAATATATGTTATTAAAAATTCCTCTTTATTCTACATCCTAAGCAGTGATCCACTCAAGCCTAATTTATATTTCTTACCTCTTTCTTTTCCTGACTCATTTTTTCTGTTTATTCCCATTATTCCCAGATCCTTCATTGAAAAAAAAAAAATGTGTTACTCTTCGGCTAGTCAAAAAATAATAGAACTAACAGAGGAGAAGAAAAGTTTAGTTGCATTGCAAGAGGAATTAGTTAGGCAAGAACTTTTGCAATCAAAAGAAACCCATAAGTTGAAGATTGAACATATGAAGGCAGAACATGAGCTACGTATGTTAATTCTTCAAAATGAATATGCCAATTCTTCAAAATGAAATTTTTTTTTAATGAATCTTTGATATATGTTTAAACTTTAAATATTTTTACTCATAAATTACATTTTAATTATTTTACATAATAATAATAATAATAATAGGTTAAATAATAAAGTTTATTGTTAATTAGTTTCATAAAATGTATATTATATATAATTATTAAAATGTAAACAAACTTTTTAATTATTTTTCATTTTTATGTTTTTGCTATTTTGTATTAAAAAAAAAATAGTATATTTTTATTTTTTTTCATTAGTTACTATATTTGATTTTTTGTAATAAAATTAAAATAATTTTTAGTTATTTAGTATACATTTTTAATGAATATAAATAGTAATTCATTATTATACCTTAATTATGTATTATAAGTTAGAACTGTTATTACTTATTATAATAACTTAATGTTACAGTTGTGAAAAATACTCATTCAATAATCGAGATCTAGCATTATTTTGATTATTTTGAATTATAGGTATATTCTCTAGAACATCTTCTGGTAATTGGATTGAATTATCATATGGAATTTTATCATTTTTGTCAATTGCTATGTTATGCAGAACTGAACATGCAATGATAACTGATTGAATCTTATGTACTTGGAATCTCATTCCAAGGGACAATATCGGAAAGCGGCGTTTCCACACGCCATATGTGCGCTCTACTGGATTTCTAGTTCTTATCTGCGATTCATTGTATACATTTTCTGGCCCAGGTTGTGGATTAAGGAATGGGGTCACAACATGATCTGTGTTGGCATACCCAGAGTCTGCAACAATTAAACTATTACCCCATTTCTTTGTAACATGTAAGTCTTGGTATATTTTTGAGTTTGAGAATATAGTTGAATCGTGAGTTGAACCCGGCCAGCGTACAACTATATCCATAATTTTTAGTTTTGAAGATACCACTGTTTGGACATTGAATGAGAACCACCCCTTTCGATTACGAAAATACTCAGAATTTGGGCCACCTTAAATAAATGATTAATTTTTTTTACATAAATAATGTGTATTTATAAAAATTCATATGTTAAAAATTAAATGTATAAATTTATATGTTTAAATAATCACAAATCCAAATCAACTATTTTATTATAATAGGTATCTGCATTATTATACATACGAGTATAATATACATCTCAACTTACCAGGACTTTGAATTTTCACATGGGTGCAATCTATAGCCCCAATGACCAATGGAAATTTCGCTATTTTATAAAAATCTTTTTGTAACTGCCTAATTTCCAAATCATTTTCTGGCATTCGAACATACTCTTTTCGGAGGTTAGCTATAGCCAGGCTTACATCTCGAACTATGAGGCAGGCTGATGATTTGCTAACGCCAATAAAATCACCTGCACTAATTAAATAGCTCCCCGTAGCATAAAACCGTAAAGTTAACAATAGTTTTTGAACTGGAGTTACAGCATGATTCCTGATCAAAATTATAAATGATGGTTAAATTAATATATGCTTAGCCCACGAATAATAATGCCTTAAGAGGGCTGGAGCGTGATTAATTTTCGGTCGAAAACATAGCTCACGACTACGCCCAAAATAATGTCCTGATATTAATTTTGAAAGCACATTTGAATTCGTCACTAAATTATCTATGCTTTGACAATTTCATTTTTCTGATTTTTATTTCTTTTTACTTAGAAATTTACTAACAAAAAGAGTAAAAATAAATCATATTAATAATTCAAATTTAAATACATTAATACAGAATATAAATAATGTACGACAGTCAAAGCATTGTAAATTTAGAGGAGAATACAAATCTGCTTTCAAAATTTAAATCAGAACATCCTACTGAACGTAGTGATTGAAGTCACAGCCCACAGGCAGTATTTTTTGAAAAAAAATGTACCTAATTTTATTAAGTAATATTTGGTGACGTGTGCATGCGCGTAGGTAAAATGACGGACGTATTATGATGCCCCTATACCGTGATCGGTACTACGAATTAAATACAGAAAATGTTAATTTACTTTCAACACATACACAAGACCCATATGAACTGAAATACAAAATGCCTAGTTTGTACTCCTTAGAATAGATTACGCTCCAGCCCCCTTAATAGTTAATTCACGGCTAAGCCAATAGGTTCTTGCCATCGGATATAATATTAGTATAAATATTAAATAGTAAATACATACCTATCAGAATTAGATGAAATAGAATGTTTTATAATATTCAAAACTTCAATAACCGTCTCTTTAGATAATCGAAATCGGGCTTTAAAATCGTAATCATCCCATTTATTAAAATGATCGATCCTACATCTTATAGTATAAGGTCTTCGAACATAGTTCACATACATGTTAAATTCATCATCGTCATCTTCAAAGAGTATAGCATGGTCCATGATGAGTTCCATGATGGGTATTGACGTATTGTCGTAACTCGTATTGAGTATAAAGTACAGGTATAAAATAATAACGAGGATAGAAAGTATTGAGTATAAAGTACAAGTATAAAAAAATAACGAGGATAGAAAATGTCAAATTTGCATATATTTTGTTATCTGATTTTTGTTGATAAAAAAAACAACAATTACATAGGTATTATGTAGTTTAACCGGCAGTTATCGGTTTAATTGGAGGAAATATTAGCGATTAACTTAACTGCTAGTTAAGCCTTTCAGTTAGCTTAATCGAGGTTTGATAAACAGTTTAACTGGGACATACATTTAACTGTCAGTTAAATCTCACTAACTATCAGTTAAATATGATTGAAAAACCGGGCCTAAGAAATGTAGAGAATGAACATTTTTTTGCCATCACATTTTGAACCTGTTAACTTGGTACTAATTAGAAAATAAATTCTGAGCAAGGAACAACATTTACTAAATTAATATTTACCTAATTTATAATTATAATCATCGAAAAATATAACTACTACAGTCTACAGATAAATTTAAATTTATAAAAAACATATTTTAAATACATGATAAGAAGAAGTTATTGAATGAAACACAACTTAGCAGAGACAATATTAAATACCAAACTTATGTCTAATGAGTTAATCAGTATAATAATTAAAATAATTTACTTTTTATACATTAATTTGTTGTACTATTAGTAATTTTGATTACATTAACAGAAAACCCAGATCAATGATACAATTACTGATACAGCAAACTATTCACTAAATATTTCACTGCCTGGCGGTTGTAAAAAAATTGATGAAAGACCTTCCTACATTGATGATAGTTTGGTGAGTTTTCAATTTTCATTGTGTTTTTATTTCAAATTTTGAAAAAATTTTGATAATGTAAGTTTTTATTATGGAAATCAATTGATTGTCCGCTTTAAGATTAATATAAGTTAGTGATTACTGATTAGTAACTAACATAAATTATTTTTATTAAATTCTTTTACAACCTGATTTCAGGAAGAATCTGCTGCTGTGCCTGACTTGGACCCTGCCAAATGGAAAATTAATTCAAGTTTAATAGACTATTTTATTTTGAATCAACCAATTCAAGATGTTAAAAAAATTAATTTTAATAAAACTGGACGAATGTGTGGAAAATATTTCCGGAAACTGCCTAGAAGTATCTTTATAAGAACATTGCATAATGGGCAAATTACCAATAGAGAGTGGCTCTTATACTCTTTATCAGCTAATGCATTATTTTGTTTCCAGTGCCTTCTTTTTTCTAACAAAAAAAGTAATCTTGGAAATTTAAAATTTGGATTAAAAAACTGGGGTAAATGTGAAGAAAAAGTAAAATGTCATGAAGAAGGCCAACAACACGGTGAATCAATTAGAATTTGGTTTTCAAGAACACAAAAAAATGCTACTTCAATTGATAAAATGTTACACGAAGAAATGAAATCAAAACTGGATTATTGGACTAATGTTCTCCATCGAGTTATTGCAACAATTACTTTCTTGGCTGAAAGAGGACTACCATTCCGTGGTAAAAATAATGAATTTGGCTCAGTACATAATGGCAATTATATGGGATGTTTAGAACTTATAGCTAAATTTGATCCTTTTTTGTCGGAACATATTTCTAAATACGGTAACCAAGGGAAAGGCAATGTTTCATATCTATCCTCGATAATATGTGATGAGTTTTTAAGTTTAATGAACAATTTGGTTCTAAGAAAAATTGTTGCTGAAATTATTGAAGCTAAGTACTTTTCAATCATAGTAGATTCTACTCCAGATATCAGTAAACAAGATCAATTAACTGTTGTGATTCGGTACATAAAACCAAATGGAAATTCTGAAGAAAGATTTTTAACATTTTTATCCTCTGTAGGACATAAGGGAGAACAAATGGAGGAAGCGTTAATTGATAAATTTAAGGAATTGGACATAGACATAAAAAATTGCAGGGGACAAGCCTACGACAACGCATCAAATATGTCTGGAAGATATAATGGCTTACAAGCACGTATTAAAAAATATTCTAAAAATGCTAATTTTGTACCGTGTGCCGCACACTCACTAAATCTTATTGGGTCAAATGCAGCTGAGATTACCAAAGAAGGAACTCGGTTTTTTTATGATTGTCAAATGGTTTACACTTTTTTTTCTTCGTCTACATATAGATGGAATCTGTATGAACAATCGACCAAATCTGTCCTTAAGAATTTATGTACAACAAGATGGTCATCACGTTATGAAGTGTGTAAAGCTCTTTCGTTTGGTTACAAAAATGTATTACAAGTTCTTCAAGTTTTGTCAGAAGATAACACGCAACAACCATCAACAAGACATGAGGCTACGTCTATTAAAAAAAAATGTTCTTATAATTTTAAGAATCTTTGCTGGTATGCCTTGTACCAATGCGAGTGGTGAACGATCATTTTCAGTGCTTCGACGAGTTAAAAATTATTTAAGATCCACCTTATCTCAAGATAAAACATCTTCCCTTTCATTGCTGTCAATAGAAAATGAGATACTTAGAAGTATTGATTGGTCAAGTATTATAAAAGAGTTTGTCAACAAAAAAATAAGAAAAAAAATATTTTAATTAGTATTGTTCCATATTTGTCATTTAAATAGTTTTATAATATGTAATAATATTTGATTGTTAATAAAGAATAAAGATATATTTATTATTATAAGTCAATGCTTAATACATAGGTACTCCATAAATAACTAAAAATATAGGAGTTGCTTACTAGGAGGTATATATTAGTTAATGAAATATAAACATTTTACATAATAAATATTCCAATTACCAGTACTATTTTAAAAGAAAGGATTATTATTCCAAGTTCCAAATAGATATTAATTCATTAATTTAATAAGATTTCTATGCAATAAACTTAATTTCCCGAGCGCAGCGAGGAAATTTTTTTGTTAAGTTTTTTATACTTTCATTAATATTCATAAAATACACCAGGGGCGCAAAATAATTTTGCCCCCCCATATGTGAACCCTTAATGCGCCCCTGTTTTCAAGGCTTCAACACTGGGCATTACTTTATTACCCATAACAAAATATATTATAAATTACAATATATATATTAATATAATATAATATACATATTTACATATATATATATATGTATACTAAATACATATTAATATATTATATATTATATTATAAGTGTACGAGTATTATTAATTTATTATAATATGTATATAATATTATATAATATATGTATTTCGTCATGATGTTACCAGTGGTTTTATTTAGCACGTCATATATGTCTTAATCCGAGTTTTATATACATATGACCTCAAACCTTATAAATTGTTAATTTTCATTGTAACCCCTCGCACTTGTCTCTTGTTTAAGAGTAAACATTTGGTGCCACTGATAAACTATTTTAGTATATCAATTAGTAATGTATTATATTATACACGATACACCTATTATATTGGCTATATAATATAATATTATCTATATACCTAATCGCACTATAGTCACTGTGGAGTATGAACTATGGTAATCAAATTATTTTTTATGGGGTGATGTGGATGATTTTTTAATGAACACTAAAAATTAAATGTTTTTTTTTTATTGATATTTTTTAAGCCAGGCAACTATAGCTATTAGCTGAAAATTTAATTTATGGTTATAAGATCATACCTACATATTTTTTTTTTAAAAGGTCATAANAATTTTATTTTATTCAAAAAGATGCTATGAAAATCTGACAACTTAAATATTAAGCAATGGGTGTCTTTTATCTGCAGTTGCCAAATTTACAACGACAGTGTTAGGTACTTCAGTGCATCTATCTATATTTTATCCTTTTAACCAAACACAGTTTTGGTTGTGACGTGTTATTATTACATCGTATTATTTTATTTTAAACCGATATTGATTGGCTATTGTGCTCAAAGACATGTTAAATGATATGCTCAGTAAAAGTTATTTGAAGCTCTTTTGTACTTTTATTTCACTGTACAAAGTATTTTCGGAAATATCACAGCATCGTAAAATCAATAGCTCTCGCTGTCAGCATGGTTCTAAAATATCACTATAAAACCGTTAGTTGTCAGGATGATAAAAGAAAAAAAGTTTTTTATGAACATAGTATTATTAATTGTGCTATTAAACTCAATTAAAGTGGTATAGTATATAAGGAGGAACGGGTAACTTAAAATAGATTAATTGTTTCAGAAGCTCATCTATACCTCTATTCATTATATTGTATTCGTAGATCACGCCACAGCTGTGTTTTCCGATCTCTTCTGTTTCAACGCCTTTATCATGATTTATATTTTTTGTGCAAAAAACACGAAAATAAGACCCCTACCCGTTTGCGCGCATCGACGCCGCCAACCCTCGGGACGAGTTTTTTGAAATCACGTAAAAAAAAAAACGGTAAAAATCTTCCAGTACATCGATTCTTGTGTGTGCGCGCGCGCGTTCGTATCAGACACCGATCAATTTTTCGCAATCGTTGACAAGGGATGTTTTATGGACGTTAAATAAAATGAAAATAGGGTAAAAAAAAACTTCCATAATACACAATATATAGGTGTCCGCGTAACACTAAACTGCGCTCCGCGGGTCTTATTCTTTACGCGAGCGGACCAACGGCGAATACACACCGTGTGTAACTAGGTCTTTTGTAAATCGATACGAGCGTATAATAATATGTATACATCATGAAGAGAAGGGACGGCGCTTGAAAAAAAAATATGTAAAAAAAAAAAAAAACATGTCACCAGAAAAACGGTTCAATAGGTTTGCCGAAATCCTGCGATTTTTTTTTTCTCTCGCGTGCACAATATAATATTATAATATTACATTATACGATTATCATAATGAACACGACCGGCGATGGCCGTTTTTGTTCGCAGCAGATGGGAATGGGATGAGGTGATACGCACGCACGGAGGCACTTACAAAGTCGTAGGTGTACACACGACCGTCGCCCGCCGGAGATTACCGCGTGTCAGCGTGAAATTTTACTTTTGGAAAGGACGAAAGGATAAAAAAAAAAAAAAACAGAGTGTAATTTATATCCCAATTTTTTATCTCTGTATTAATAATATCATCGTGTTATTATTATTCTATCGACGGGACGCGTCGCACGCGTATCCGCAGCAGCTAATCGATACCATGTATTATATCCGAACTATTGAGGCTTTTCGTCCGGGCCTTATGCCTCGGCGTCTGCCGCATAAATAACGTGTACGTCAACAAACGGCCGCCGAGTACCTTTTATACGGCATTAGTACGGCGGCCGCGATTAAATGGCTGTCGCGGCGGCGGCGTTGGTTTTTTAACCGTCGGCACGTGCGGCGGCGGCGGCGGCGGCGGCGACCACTTCCGGTCCACACCCGACAACAATAATTAAGCGGCGTTTATACGCGTCGGCGGCGGGGGCGCGCGTGCTCGGTCACGTGTCCGCCCGCGTAAACAATCCGTTAACAAGTGGCCCGTGCGCCTATGATATTATATTATTGATTGTGTTGTACGTATATATTAGTGACGGTGGTGGTGGTGCTCTCCGCGTAAAATGTCATGTCGAGCGCACAACTATCATGGTGTATTATTGCGAAGGCAGTCGTAGGTACTTGTCGCCTCCCCGACACTTTGGCACGCTGCAGGTTTTTTTTTTTTAATCGAATTTTCCGACACTTTTTTATTCGGTTTTTTTTTTTATGACACTTCGATGTACTCGCCCGATGACAATCTCTATAAAAGGTGCCCTCACACACATGATCACATAACCACGTAATAATATTATAATAGATTATAAATTAAAATATTATCGCTTCACGCGCGCGCCTGTCGAGTACTCGATACGGATAAAGACGCGCACGCGGCGACTCCACAGCAGCTTTGGACGAGTGATATATAATATAATATTATATAATACTATGCATAATTCGTTCACTATTAAACGCAGTTCTTATTCACATGTACGTGTAACACTATAATATTATATTCCATGAGTACTCATATTGTACGTATGTGTGTGTGTGTGTGTGTGTGTGTGTGTGTGTGTGTGTGTGTGTGTGATGTACGTACTTATACAAAACAAAATCGATTTTCATACGATTTCCCGCGGTTTTAATCCGCGCGACGACAAGATTGGAACGACGACGTTCAAAGTGGATTAATAATATACTTAATATAGTTGTACGACTATATAATATACGGTTACCTATAACCTACTCAGAGGAATTATTTTTAATCCACGGCCCGGTAACCACGTAAAGTTTCTTAATCGATTTCTCGTGCAAATTGTTCTGAAGTGCTATTTCAAAGTTGGCGATAAAATATTTCACAGCTCTTTCGCCAAAATCGTTCTAGCAAACAGTTTACCTAGATAAGCACCGACAGAATATAATACGGATGCGGACTACAATCGCTGAGTATGATAATATTATTTTATCTCGATTCCGTCTAAAATTCGTTTACATATACTCATTAACGTGCATACCAATTGAAGCACTGAGCACGAAGTACGAATACAATAAAAATTACACTCATTAAACTTTTCATATATAGAACAAAAAAATACCATGTAGACGAAGAGATTTGTAATTTTAATACGTCGCGTAAATATAACGATATAGGTAGGTACTTGCAAATGTTTAATAATTATGCAGTTTTAAAATATTACTGTACCCATTGTCTTAGACTTATTGCGCAGTATACAATAAATTATTATAATATACCAATAATAAAACAATTTTTAATTATTTGTACATAATTCATCACAATCGGGGAAAGGGAACTGCGAAAACCACTTGATGTCGTTCGTAAATATAATACGAATACAGTTTAATCGACACGTTTCGCCATTTCGCCGTTATTTTATTGTATTACGCAATATAATTGTATACGGGCACGCGAACGGCGTGGCCCAAAACGGTTCGTCCAAGAATGGAAGGCACGGCGGGTGCGAATGAAATCGCCGGGGACGACGCTCGAAATGGAATTATATCTCGGTGACGCGGTTACCCGCTTGCAAATAAACCGAATACAATTGTTTAATATTTTCAACCGGTTAGTCAGTTCGTGGAATCATCAGTCGGCGAGTCGTATACGTGGAGAAATACGGCCACCGTCGGCCGCCACCGGTCACCATCGTTCTGAAACCGACGGAAAATACCGCGGATACCCGACGGCGAGTAACCCTATTAAAATCTGATCGCGACCACGGTATGAGTTTGGTGATGGCGGTACACGTCGCGGATATTCGGTACAATACTCGAGAGCTGGTAACCGCGATAGTCTCCGTCGTCGGCTAGCGAATCTGTTTTTTTTTTTCGGCGTCCGTCCGTCCCGTTCGGTCACGTCGTTGTCGTGCGAGAGTGATGCGTGTCAAGACAGTGTGTCCGATGTGCCGCTCGATATGTGGACCGCGGAGTTTCTTCATA